TGTTTTTGAGGTCATATTTTACGTTTTCGTTTTGTTTATCCCTTAACTGCTTATGTAAATATACATGATTTTACTACTTTCATCTTTTAGCCTTTCTACTAGCTTTATCAGTGGTTGATCTGCTACCTTTACTGTATGTTTACCTTTACCAATGAGATTTTTCCTTTCATAAGTTCCATATTTCTAGTTGTGGCCCTTTCTTTTCTACTTAAAGATGTCCCTTTAATATTTCTTGTAAAGCTGTTTTAATAGTGCTGAACTCTTTTAGCTTTTGCTTGTCTGTAAATCTCTTTATCGCTCCTTCCAATCTGAAGGATAGCCTTTCTGGGTAGAGTGTTCTTGGTTGTAGGTTTTTTCCTTTCATCACCTTGAATATATGGTGCCACTCCCTTCTGTCCTGCAAAGTTCTGCTGAAAAGTCAGTGATAGCCTTATGGTAGCTCCCTTGTGGATAACTAATTGCCTGTCCCTTGTTGCTTTTAGAATTCTCTGTTTTTCTTTAATTTTTGCCATTTTAATTGTAATTAACCTCTTTAGATTCATCTTGTTTGGGACTCTGTGCTTCCTGGACCTGGATATCTGTTTCCTTCCCCAGGTTAGGGAAGTTTTCAGCTATGATTTCTTCAGATAAGCCTTCTGCCCCTTTCTCTTCTCCTCCTGGGACTCCTGTATTGTGACTGTTAATATGCTTGATAGTGTCCCAGAGGTCTCTTAAATTACACTCATTTTTTTAAATTCTGTTTTTTCTTCAGCTTGAGTGATTTCTGCTATTGTTTTACAGGTTGCTGATGTATTCCTCCGTATCATCTAATTTGTTGTCCCTTCTATTTATATTTTTAATTTCAGTTATTGTATTCTTCAGCTCTGTTTGGTTCTTCTTCATATTTTCTAACTACTGAAATTTTATGTTCATTGATTCTTCTCCTGAGTTTGGTGAGCATCTTTATGATCATTACCTTGAACTCTTTATCTGGTAGATTGCTTATCTCCACTTTGTTTGTTCTTTTTCTGAGGTTATGTCTTGTACCTTCACTTGGAACATATTCCTCTGTCTCCTCACTTTACCCAATTCTTTGTGTTTATTTCCATGTGTTAGTTAGGTTGTTTATGTTTCCCATCTTGGAGAAGTGGCCTTATTTAGGAGACCTCCTCTGGGGCCCCAGCAGCACACTCCTTTTTGGTCTCCAGAACCAGATGCTTTAGGGGTGTCCCCTATGTGGGCTGCATATACATCCTTCTGTTGTGGTGGGGCTGATTACTGTGGGAGCACTGGTAGGCAGGGCTGGCCCCTGGCCTGGTTGGCTGTGAGGCCATGCCTTGTATGGTGGCTGTGGGCCTATTAGAGGGTAGGGTAGTCTTCCTGTGAAGTTGGCTGCATGGCCTGGGGGCTCAGTGGTTCACTGGAGGGTGAAGCTGGGTCCCCACATGGCTGTCTTTCTGGCAGGCCAGGGGTGGGGTTTGGGGCTTGTGCCAGCCTGCTGGTGGGCAGGGCTGGGGCGCCAGCACTAACAGACTAGAGGAAAATTCCAAAGTGGTGTGTTCCAGTACCAGTGTTATTGGGGTAGAACAGACTCCCAAAAATAGCTGACCCAAGCTCCTTTCAAACTACTGCCTCAGTGTTGGGACTTAGAGCATGTGACATTTTGTATGTGCCCTTGAGAGCAGAATCTTATTCCTGTATCCCTCTAGTTCTCCTGAACATAAACTCTGCTGGTTTTCCAAAGCCAGACATTCTGGGGGCTCATCTTTCTAGTGCAGGACCCCTGGGCTGGTGACCCCATTTGGGGCTCAGACTCCTCACTCCTTGTAGAGGACCTCTGTGCTAGTGATATTCCTTCCATTTGTGGGTTACCAGCATGGGGTGTGGGTCACCACCTGTCCTACCCATCTCATGTGGTTATTTTTGTTTCTTTTAATTTTTAAAAAAATTTTTTATTGATGTATAGTTCCTTTACAATTTTGTGTTAGTTTCCACTGTACAGCGAAGTGAATCAGTAGTACGTATACATATATCCCCTCTTTTTTGGATTTCCTTCCCATTTAGGTCACCACAGAGCATTGAATAGAGTTCCGCGTGCTATACAATAGGTTCTCATTAGTTATCTATTTTATACATATTTTCAATAGTGTTTGTTTGTCAATCCCAATCTCCCAATTCCCCCCCCCCCCCCCCCCCCCCCGCTTTCTGCCTTGGTATCCATACATTTGTTTTCTACATGTGTCTCTATTTCTCCTTTGTAAAATAAGATCGCCTATACCAGTTTTTTCAGATTCCACATATATGCGATAATAAACGATATTTGTTTTACTCTTTCTGACCTACTTCACTTTCTATGACAGTCTCTAGGTCCATCCACGTCTCTACAAATGACCCAATTTTCTTCCTTTTTATGGCTGAGTAATATTCCATTGTATATATGTATCGTGTGCTTACTTCTTTATGCCTTTAGTTGTGGAAAATCTTTTCTGCTAGTGTTCAGGTTATTCTCATAGATAGTTGCTCTGTAACTAGTTGTAATTTTGCTGTGTCTGTGGGAGGAGGTGAGTTCAGTGTCTTCCTACTTCACCACCTTGGCCACCTCCCCTACTCTTGAAATTTTATCTCAATTCTCTATTTGATTTGTCTTTATTTCTCTTTTATTTTCACTGGCAATACCGAGGAATTGAAGATTATGGAACTAAAATAGCAAAAATGATTTTTCTTTTTTTTTTTAAGATCTATTTTTTAGTGACGTCTACCTATTACCAGTGGTTGAACTGTTTGAAAGGATGCATTATGAATACTTTTCCCTAGCAAAGCAAAGAACATGTAGGGGTCCTCAAATGACCTTTCCTGACAAACTAGAGAATGAAATTTGAAAGCATTCTGTGAGATTTTGGTCCAGTTTAGCTCCTATATCTGTTCGTCTTTACCATCCTTCAAAAATATGTTAACTTCAGGACAGTGACTTAAGAAAAATCCTGATGAAATTCTGAGAATTCCCCAAGGATTCTGAAAGGTAATTGTGAAGCATGGGAGGAAAGCAGTTAGGACATCCTCATCTTTTTCTTGAGTTTTAAGATGTTCTTGAGCCTTACTTTTTGGAAGTGTAGAGTATACAGAAGGAAGGAAGTAGGGTGAAGAGATTGGAGTAATAACTTGAAATATGCATATATGCTTAATGCCCACATGTAGGCCCTGGGCCTTTCTTATATTTTAATGAATATTTATCTAACATTCTAGACTGACAAATAGTTTTTAAAAAGCAGTACCTCTTGCAATTTCACTCATTTTTCCTTTGCATGTATTATCCTATAAGCAGTAGTAATAATAAAATATGTAAGATTGGAAACTTTTTTTTTAAAGCATATATAGATAGGGAAATTTTTTGGCCATAATTCATAGTGGCCTTTAAAGTTCCTCATAGTTTTTCAGCTCCTTGCTCTTGTTCTTGTTCTTGGTGAGTTTATGTTGCTGGAAATATGTATAGTTTATCTATCACACTGTGAGTGTTTAGCCAGTGTTCAAACTGAATTTATGCTGCTATTAAAAATGCGTGTTTAGGGACTTCCCTGGTGGTGCAGTGGTTAAGAATCTGCCTGCCAGTGCAGGGGACACAGGTTCCATCCCTGGTCCGGGAAGATCCCAAATGCCACAGAGCAGCTAAGCTTGTGCATGACAACTACTGAGCCTGCGATCTAGAGCCCGTGAGCCACAAATACTGAGCCTACATGCCACAGCTACTGAAGCCCGCGCGCCTAGAGCCCATGCTCCGCAACAAGAGAAGCCACTGCAATGAGAAGCCTGCGCACCACAATGAAGAGTAGCCCCCACCCACTGCAACTAGAGAAAGCCCACGCACAGCAACAAAGACCAACACAGCCAAAAATAAATTAATTAATTAATTTAAAAGGCAAACAAAAGTGTGTTTAAGATGGTTTCATATTTTATAAAGTAACAGTGGAACATATGAATTCACTTCATCATGTTGCTCTAAGATAGAAAGAAAATTCAGACTGTGTTACAAACCAAAGGAAAATAACTCTCTGTTTCTTCTAAAGTTAAAATAATAGATTTGTTCATTTGTCCTAGGGTATGCCCAGTATGCATGTGTAATAAATAATAAAAGGCTTATGCCAGGCAAGTTGGAATTTTGGAACAAAAGAGATGTAACTGATTCATCTGTACTTTTTTTGTATTATCAAACCAACTCTCTAATATATTAAATTTTAGCAAAACTTCAGTTCTGCTACATTAGGTATATTTGGACCTTTAAATCCCTGCTGTAATTAAAGCTAATTCTTTATGTTATGTATGTTGACTTGATAATTGGCTCAACGTTCAGAAAGAAAATTTAGGTTTAGTTGTATTCTCTAGGCCTGCACAGTTCAGCCAGCTCCATCTGGCTACTGAATACTTGAAATGTAGCTAATCCTAATTAAGATGCTTTCTAAGTGTAAACTACACTCAATTTTGAAGACTTAGTACAGAAAGTCCATGTAAAATATTTTGGTAATTTTTATAGTGATTAAATGTTAATTTTATATATAATTAATATTTTGTAAGTACTGGGTTAGATAAAATGAATTTCACTGGTTTCTTTTTACCTTTTTAATGGCCCTACTAGATAATTTTAAAGTATAAAATATAACTTGCATTTTATTTTTGACAGCATTGTTCTAGGCTGTCACATGTCCAAGCAATATGTGATGAGGGCCTGGACTGGGACAGTTAAGACACTGAAAATAGATAAGGAGAGAAAATTGGGATAAATTTCAAACATAGTCTATAGCACTTGGTAATTGATTTCAAGTGGTGGTTAAGGAGATGTCAAAGACTTATGATTTGGATAAGTGGATGGTCATATCATTAGCCAGGAAAGGGAACATGAGAGGAAGAGGCAGTAGAGATAATAGCTATTTCACTGTACATATATCTTCACTAATTCATTGAAACATTTAGCATTAAATATAAGATGGTCATGTTTAAGAGTCTTCTCTCCTGTTTCCACCTCTTTCCAGAATTTGAATTCAGAAGATCAAAAAACATCAAGTATTGAACGTATAAGCTGCAGTGAGGGAGAAGATTTTGCAAGTGTGAAAAAGAAGGCCAAAATAGACATTCATTACAAAAAGAGTCCCCCCAAATATACTGTTCCAGTTAGCGCAAAGACTGTAGAATCTCCTCTTAATGAAAACATTTATAATTCGGCTTCATTTAAAGATGAGAAAATCATAGAGACTGATAGTGAGCCTGAAGAAGGTGAAATTACAGACTCTCAGACCGAGGACAGTTATGATGAAGACATTACCAGTGAAGACAATGTAACTGCAGAGGATTCTGAAGATGAAGGTGAGTAAATGGCCATTACTTAATTTTATATAAATAACCAAGCGTGGTCATTGTAAAAGTGCAAAACGGTTAAAAGTGTTATTAACCCATATAATATATCTGCCGAAAAGTGAGCTGATTGTTTTAAAGAGATTAATGACATTATTAAAAATTATAACTGCTTGGTTATTTTTCAACAGTAGGATGTGAATAAATGACTAGTACTTGGATCCTGAAGTTTCATTGCATTGAATGGCTTAGTCAGTAAGAACACAAAACCAAGTTACCTACTTTCTAATCCTAAAGTAGGTACAAAGTCTATTTTAGTGGATTAGATATTTGTCCACTTTTGTAATTGAGGGAGGGAAAGCAGTTGCCTTTAAAAAGAGTAGTCCACGAATTCAGCTTACATAGGTATTATGGTAAATCTAATATTTATTTTACTTGAGGATATAAAGATATACTTTTAAAACTCAGGAATTCATATTGGTGTATATGAGCTTATTTTGTTCTTAATGGAGTTTCCTTTCATTTTTTCTTAAAAAGGGCAGACTCAGTTTTTCAAACTTAATGTAAAAATGCTTTTTTGGGATACTTTCAAATTCCAAGACCTTAAAAAAGAGAGAGTTGATTATTTTATAATTGTGATTGGTGCTGAATATCTTTAGGTTGATCTTTTTATAAATTTATTTATTTTTGGCCGCATTGCACAGCATGTGGGATCTTAGTTCCCTGACTGGGGATCAAGCCTGTGCCCCCTGCAGTGGAAGTGTGGAGTCTTAACCACTGGACCGCCAGGGAAGTCCCATAGGTTGATCATTTTAAATTGGTAACATTGTTAAACCTTACTTACTGTGTATGTGATATAGCAGAATTTAAGAATGTTGTTTTAAACAGAATGAAGATTTTTATCAATATATTTTTACTTTATGTATGCCTCCTACTCATCCCTATGCATTTCTGATTTTTTCCCATAGCATTTGAATTAATATTTACACATTTCTTTCTTTGGCAGATGAAGAAAAAATTTGGCCCCCATGTATTAGAGTAATTGTAATTAGATCACCTGTGTTGCAGACAGGATCACTTTTTATCATTACAGCTGTAAATCCTGCTACAATTGGAAGGTAAAAATGTTTAGTGTTATTATATTTGTGTATTTGTCTTATTCCAGTGGACTGTACTTTTCCTGAGCAGTTAATCATTAAATATGCATGGTACTTGTTGAATAGGAAAAAAGTGACATCCATGTCCCTCCCTTTTCCACTCAAAAAATATTCTGACACCTACCTTTTGTCACCTGCTTTTGGAAGACAATTGGAGATATAACCTCCTTATCCCTAAAGGGGACTGCCTATGTAAAGAGATAAAATCTTGGTGATATGATACCTTCCACAGAGGTTTTGTCATTTTCTTACCTTTTGTATTGCTTTTTTTAGGTATAAATTACTTAAACCCACTGTTGACCTCCTCTGATTATTTTCCTTTACCCCTTTATAATTCAGCCAGCTTGGTAGAGAGGTAGGTTTTAATCATGAGTAGGATAATTTCCTTTCTTCCAAACTGGAAAGGTAATGTATGGAACAGGTTCCATACGATATTTTAATTTTAAATTCTTAGAAATAGTTTACTTTTTTTACATGTAGTAATAGAAGTGGAAACAGTCAACAGGTCTGGAAAAAGTGATTGACATGAGTACAAAGGACATTTTGTCTCACTGGATGTTTACTAGCCTGTGACAGATGTACCAAAGAGTAAAAGTAACTCTGGAACCTTCTTTCAAAAAGGAAATTAGAGTAGCATTGTAGAAACCAGATTTAGTGTGATAGAGAGACTTGCATTTTAACATTATCTTTTAAAACAAAAAAACTTATCTTTAAAAAAATTCTTTAAGTGCTACAATTATGTATGCTTCAGACATAATTAAAGGCACTTTATTTAACTCTGCAGAGAAAAAGATATGGAGCATACTCTCCGAATCCCTGAAGTTGGTGTCAGTAAGGTAAGCTCTTTGATTTTTCGGTTACAACCCCCTAGATGTGATTTTGTAAATCATCATTTTTTTTTTTTAACATCTTTATTGGGGTATAATTGCTTTACAATCGTGTGTTAGTTTCTGCTTTATAACAAAGTGAATCAGTAATACATATACATATGTTCCCATATCTCTTCCCTCTTGCGTCTCCCTCCCTCCCACCCTCCCTATCCCACCCCTCCAGGCGGTCACAAAGCACCGAGCTGATCTCCCTGTGCTATGCGGCTGCTTCCCACTAGCTATCTACCTTACGTTTGGTAGTGTATATATGTCCATGCCTCTCTCTCGCTTTGTCACAGCTCACCCTTCCCCCTCCCCATATCCTCAAGTCCCTTCTCTAGTAGGTCTGTGTCTTTATTCCTGTCTTACCCCTAGGTTCTTCATGACATTTTTTATTTCTTAAATTCCATATATATGTGTTAGCATATGGTATTTGTCTTTCTCTTTCTGATGTAATTCACTCTTTATGACAGACTCTAGGTCTATCCACCTCATTACAAATAGCTCAATTTCGTTTCTTTTTATGGCTGAGTAATATTCCATTGTATATATGTGCCACATCTTCTTTATCCATTCATCTGATGATGGACATTTACGTTGTTTCCATCTCCGGGCTATTCTCTGGGCTATTGTAAATAGAGCTGCAATGAACATTTTGGTACATGACACTTTTTCAGTTATGCTTTTCTCAGGGTATATGCCCAGTAGTGGGACTGCTGGGTTGTATGGTAGTTCTATTTTTAGTTTTTTAAGGAACCTCCATACTGTTCTCCACAATGACTGTATCAGTTTACATTCCCACCAACGGTGCAAGAGGGTTCCCTTTTCTCCACACCCTCTCCAGCATTTATTGTTTCTAGATTTTTCGATGATGGCCATTCTGACTGGTGTGAGATGATATCTCATTGTAGTTTTGATTTGCATTTCTCTAATGATTAATGACGTTGAGCATTCTTTCATGTGTTTGTTGGCAATCTGTAATCTTCTTTGGAGAAATGTCTATTTAGGTCTTCTGCCCATTTTTGGATTGGGTTGTTTGTTTTTCTGTTATCGAGCTGCATGAGCTGCTTATAAATTTTGGGGATTAATTCTTTGTCAGTTGCTTCATTTGCAAATATTTTCTCCGATTCTGAGGGTTGTCTTTTGGCTTGTTTATGGTTTCCTTTGCTGTGCAAAAGCTTTGAAGTTTCATTAGGTCCCATTTGTTTATTTTTATTTCCATTTCTCTAGGAGGTAGGTCAAAAAGGATCTTGCTGTGATTTATGTCATAGAGTGTTCTGCCTATGTTTTCCTCTAAGAGTTTGATAGTTTCTGGCCTTACATTTAGGTCTTTAATCCATTTTGAGCTTATTTTTGTGTATGGTGTTAGGGAGTGATCTAATCTCATACTTTTACATGTACCTGTCCAGTTTTCCCAGCACCACTTATTGAAGAGGCTGTCCTTTCTCCACTGTACATTCCTGCCACCTTTATCAAAGATAAGGTGTCCATATGTGCATGGGTTTATCTCTGGGCTTTCTATCCTGTTCCATTGAGCTATCTTTCTGTTTTTGTGCCAGTACCATACTGTGTTGATTACTGTAGCTTTGTAGTATAGTCTGAAGTCAGGGAGCCTGATTCTTCCAGCTCTGTTTTTCGTTCTCAAGATTGCTTTGGCTATTCGGGGTCTTTTGTGTTTCCATACAAATTGTGAAATTTTTTGTTCTAGTTCTGTGAAAAATGCCAGTGGTAATTTGATAGGGATTGCATTGAATCTATAGATTGCTTTGGGTAGTAGAGTCATTTTCACAATGTTGATTCTTCCAATCCACGAACACGGTATATCTCTCCATCTGTTTGTATCATCTTTAATTTCTTTCATCAGTGTCTTATAATTTTCTGCATACAGGTCTTTTGTCTCCTTAGGTAGGTTTATTCCTATATATTTTATTTTTTTTGTTGCAATGGTAAATGGGAGTGTTTTCTTGATTTCACTTTCAGATTTTTCATCATTAGTATATAGTAATGCCAGAGATTTCTGTGCATTAATTTTGTATCCTGCTACTTTACCGAATTCATTGATTAGCTCTAGTAGTTTTCTGGTAGCATCTTTAGGATTCTCTATGTATAGTGTCATGTCATCTGCAAACAGTGACAGCTTTACTTCTTCTTTTCCGATTTGGATTCCTTTTATTTCCTTTTCTTCTCTGATTGCTGTGGCTAAAACTTCCAAAACTATGTTGAATAAGAGTGGTGAGAGTGGGCAACCTTGTCTTGTTCCTGATCTTTGTGGAAATGGTTTCAGGTTTTCACCATTGAGGACGATGTTGGTTGTGGGTTTGTTATATACGACCTTTATTATGTTGAGGAAAGTTCCCTCTATGCCTACTTTCTGCAGGGTTTTTATCATAAATGGGTGTCAGAAGCTTTCTCTGCATCTATTGAGATGATCATATGGTTTTTCTCCTTCAATTTGTTAATATGGTGTGTCACGTTCATTGATTTGCATATATTGAAGAATCCTTGCATTCCTGGAATAAACCCCACTTGATCATGGTGTATGATCTGTTTAATGTGCTGTTAGATTCTTTTGCTAGTATTTTGTTGAGGATTTTTGCATCTGTGTTCATCAATGATATTGGCCTGTAGTTTTCTTTCTTTGTGACATCCTTGTCTGGTTTTTGTATCAGGGTGATGGTGGCCTCGTAGAATGAGTTTGGGAGTGTTCCTCGCTCTGCTATATTTTGGAAGACTTTGAGAAGGATAGGTGTTAGCTCTTCTCTAAATGTTTGATAGAATTCGCCTGTGAAGCCATCTGGTCCTGGACTTTTGTTTGTTGGAAGATTTTTAATCACAGTTTCAATTTCAGTGCTTGTGATTGGTCTGTTCATATTTTCTATTTCTTCCTGATTCAGTCTTGGCAGGTTGTGCATTTCTAAGAATTTGTCCATTTCTTCCAGGTTGTCCATTTTATTGGCATAGAGTTGCTTGCAGTAATCTCTCATGATCTTTCGTATTTCTGCAGTGTCAGTTGTTACTTCTCCTTTTTCATTTCTTATTCTATTGATTTGAGTCTTCTCCTTTTTTCTTGATGAGTCTGGCTAATGGTTTATCTATTTTGTTTATCTTCTCGAAGAACCAGCTTTTAATTTTATTGATCTTTGCTATCGTTTCCTTCATTGCTTTTTGATTTATTTCTGATCTGATTTTCATGATTTCTTTCCTTCTGCTAACTTTGGGGCTTTTTGTTCTTCTTTCTCTAATTGCTTTAGGTTCAAGGTTAGGTTGTTTATTCGAGATGTTTCCCATTTCTTAAGGTAGGATTGTATTGCTATAAACTTCCCTCTTAGAACTGCTTTTGCTGCATCCCATAGGTTTTGGGTCATCGTGTCTCCATTGTCATTTGTTTCTAGGTATTTTTTTGGTCTCCATTGTCATTTGTTTCTAAGTATTTTTAAATTTCCTCTTTGATTTCTTCAGTGATCACTTCGTTATTAAGTAGTGTATTGTTTAGCCTCCATGTGTATTTATTTTTTACAGATCTTTTCCTGTAATTGATATCGAGTCTCATAGCGTTGTGGTCGCAAAAGATACTTGATACAATTTCAAATTTCTTAAATTCACCAAGGCTTGATTTGTGACCCAAGCTATGATCTATCCTGGGGAATGTTCCATGAGCACTTGAGAAAAATGTGTATTCTGTTTTTGGATGGAATGTCTTATAAATATCAATTAAGTCCATCTTTTTTAATGTATCATTTAAAGCTTGTGTTTCCTTATTTATTTTCATTTTGGATGATCTGTCCATTGGTGAAGGTAGGGTGTTAAAGTCCCCTACTATGAATGTGTTACTGTTGATTTCCCCTTTTATGGCTGTTAGTATTGGCCTTATGTATTGAGGTGCTTCTATGTTGGGTGCATAATCATTTGCAATTGTTATATCTTCTTCTTGGATCGATCCCTTGATCATTATGTAGTGTCCTTCTTTGTCTCGTCTAATAGTCTTTATTTTAAAGTCTATTTTGTCTGATATGAGAATTGCTACTACAGCTTTCTTTTGGTTTCCATTTGTATGGAATATCTTTTTCCATCCCCTTACTTTCAGTCTGTATGTCTCTAGGTCTGAAGTGGGTCTCTTGTAGACAGCATATATATGGGTCTTGTTTTTATATCCATTCAGCCAATCTGTGTCTTTTGGTGGGAGCATTTAATCCATTTACATTCAAGGTAATTATCGATATGTATGTTCCTGTTCCCATTTTCTTAATTGTTTTGGGTTCGTTATTTTAGGTCTTTTCCTTCTCTTGTGCTTCTTGCCTAGAGAAGTTCCTTTAGCAGTTGTTGTAAAGCTGGTTTGCTGGTGCTGAACTCTCAGCTTTTGCTTGTCTGTAAAGCTTTTAATTTCTCCATCAAATCTGAATGAGATCCTTGCTGGGTAGAGTAATCTTGGTTGCAGGTTTTTCTCCTTCATCACTTTAAATATGTCCTGCCACTCCCTTCTGGCTTGCAGAGTTTCTGCTGAAAGATCAGGTGTTAACCTTATGGGGATTCCCTTGTGTGTTATTTGTTGTTTTTCCCTTGCTGCTTTTAATATGTTTTCTTTGTATTTAATTTTTGACAATTTGATTAATATGTGTCTTGGTGTGTTTCTCCTTGGATTTATCCTGTATGGGACTCTTCTGTGCTTCCTGGACTTGATTAACTATTTCCTTTCCTATATTAGGGAAGTTTTCAACTATCTTCTCTTCAGATATTTTCTCAGTCCCTTTCTTTTTCTCTTCTACTTCGGGAACCCCTATAATTCCAATGTTGGTGCATTTAATGTTGTCCCAGAGGTCTCTGAGACTGTCCTCAGTTCTTTTCATTTTTTTTCTTTATTCTGCTCTGCAGTAGTTATTTCCACTATTTTATCTTCCAGGTCACTTATCTGTTCTTCTGCCTCAGTTATTCTGCTATTGATCCCATCTAGAGTATTTTTCATTTCATTT